GTAGTCATCAGTGGAGAGTGTCCTCACGGAGGTGTCCACCTGGGGTCATCCTCATGGCAATGGCTCCCTTCAAGACTACCTTTTCCCCCTTTTATAATGAGTTGGGGGGAGTACCTCTGTTCTTCATGTCACGTAATACACATTCCTGGTGAACCAGTTTCCCTGGTCTTCCAACCAACTCTTCAACTGCATGTGTCTGAAGCAATTTCTGGGATATCGGGCAGAAATTCCTCACACCAGTCCTCGAGGTAACAGATAAAAGAGTCTTATCTCAGCATTTTCTCATGCATCCTCCAGGCAATGGATGGTGGAGTCTCAGTTCAGCTCCTCACACCCTCCTCCCAGGCAGCAGATACTGGAGTCTTAATTCCTCTCACCCATCTCTGAGACAATGGATTGGTGGAATTCCATCTCAGCTTCTCATACAAATCTTTGAAACAGTGGACAGTGGAGTCTGATTTCAGATCAGTCTTTCACACCCTTCTCTTCCATGCTATTGCTGTGAGTCTCTTGTTTTTTCCCTAGCACTAATTAAAAGCAATTTGTAGGCAAATATATCTCTCTTTAGTTATAAATCATGCAATGCGATCCAGTACCAGATGTGAACATACAGCTGGCAGTGAAAGCAAGCACTTAACAGCTTTGCAAAAATTTACAAAAAAAGTTGGTTAAAAATAAACTAATAGAAATCAGAATTAAAGAAGGTGGAGGTTTTAATCTAATACATTTGTTTAATGATCTTGAATTTCAGTACTGGAAAAGGGAACGTAGGGCACAGGTGCAGAGCTAACTTTCTGTGTTCTCTCTTGGTATTATTAGGTATATCAAGACTGTGTATCAAGAAAATAGCAGTAAGTCATATGAGAGAAGTCTGGCATTTAAAAGCAGCAGCACTAATCATGAATTAACTTGAATCAATATTATTTATTTTTTATATTACAGTATACCATGGTTCTAATTTAAGAAAATTAGAAATTGTAGGTTCAAATTTAAGAAAAGATCCAAGATGATGTTGGAACAGAATTCAAGGAACAAGGATGCCTGGAAGAGGGAGTCACCATCACTAGACTGCCAGTATTTATACTACCTTCTGCAGATCGAATCGCATTAAAAAAATATGAAAGAAATCATTCAACCAAAAGACATCAACACTTGTAATCATTTCATGCTGAAGCACTGTATTTCTATCAAACATGGGGACTTTGGAAAGAACTGAAAGGTCCTTTACAGAATAATTCAGGTTTGTCACAAGGATGTTTGCCACAAACAAGCACAAGTGAAAGCTCAGTGAGGAGCTAGGAGGCATTAACAGAATAACAGTGCAAGGCATCCTTGCGGTGAAGGAAAAGGCTCAGCTGAATCCAAAATACAAACAAAAGCTGACCAGCTATAACCACCACAGTTCAAACCCCAGAAGCCAACCACAAACAGAAGGGGCTCTGCAGCTAAATGGTTCCAAGTCTTCATTGGCTGAATGTGGAAAATATCAGAAAACCACGAGTTCATATTTGAGACTGCTGAACGTTCCTAGAGAGCTTTTAGGAACCTGTAGATGTTTCTGTACAAGCTGCTACTGAGCTGCAGTTAAAATTACCGTTTCTAGAGTAGTGTTAGCCTGGGTTAAGAAACCATTGTCCTCTGCTCAAGGCATACTACCTCTCCTTAGACATATCATAAGCTCACCCCTGGCTCTGTAGAGGTCCCAAGGTCCTACTGCATGCAGCTTGAAGAGCCAATTATCTGGAAGAAAAATAGAATCTCTGGAGGGAAACCCACTACCACTTCTATATAGTAGGTATGTCTCATGGCACCTCTTCACAACAGGCAACGCAGATGGCAATGCTGTTTCATCAACAGGGTAAAGCCACCACTAAAAAAAGAACAAGTTTTTTTCTGAAACGAATGAAAGACAGGTTTTGCACTGATCAGCAAAGACTGCAATAATTACCATGAGCTGTACTGGGGCTTGTACTGAAAAGGTTGCACAGTTCTTTCCAGTGAAGAATGAATTCTCACATATAAACCAGCATGCACAAGCTGTAGGGCATAAGATATAATTATAGCATCGCTTCTAAGGAAAAAAAAAAATGCCTTGAAACTTTTTTTTGGTAGCAAATAGGAAGCTGTATGATGATTTTTGCAGCATCAGGCAGGGAGTACTAACCGCTCATATGCACCACTTAATTCTTTTTAGCAAATTAAATGATGCTAATGTCATAAAAAATTATTCACCTTGAGAGGTTAGTTAAATATATTACTAGCAACATATTATTTTCTCCTTTATTTTAAGAAAATATAAAACTTCACTGGAAATACCTTTTTTATTTTTCCCCTATGATCAATGACAGCTCAAAAACATGGATTAACAAAATGCTTTTCGTATTATCCATTAAATTAAGTCTAAGTAAATGACAATTTATATTCTACTTGATTACTTTCAGGACAGCTATGGAACTGCATTTGGAATTTCTGAAAACTATAGGAAAGGTATTCTCTTGATTGGGTTGAACCCTGCAGCAATAATAACACTTAAATTAACTTCATGAGATTGACGCTGTTAAAGAATGACTGATTTCTTCCAGATAACTGTCTAGTTGATCTATAGCCTAATGCAACAAAGATGTTAAAATGTTTAAAGTGTTTTAGTTTTCTTTTTTCCTATTTCAAAGAAGTTAAGAAAGGAAGCACAAAACCTATTGCAATGCTCTGCTTCCAGAACATGTAGTGACAGGAAAAGGGGGAATGGCTTCAAGCTAGAAGAGGGTAGATTTAAATTAGACATTAGGAAGAAGTTCTTCAGTATGAGGGTGGTGAGGCGCTGGCACAGGTTGTCCACAGAAGCTGTGGCTGTCCTGTCCCTGGCAGTTTTCAAGGCCAGGTTGAAGGAGGCTTTGAGCAACTGGGTCTAGTGGGAGGTGTCCCTGCCCATGACAGGGGGTTGGAACTGGATGAGCTTTAAGGTCCCTTCCAACACAAACCAGTCTGTGATTCCATGAACTGCTGGAAAACTTCTGCCACTGAGGTAGGAAGAGCATTCAACAGTAGTACCTGCAGATAGCTTTAGCTCACTCAGTAAAATCAGATTACTAAAAAAAAACCAAAAAAAACCCCATGATATGAAGTTCCCTGAAAAATTAAGCAATTCTGACTGAACACACAGGGCTGCACATGGCACCTACGCCCCTTTTCACCAAAATATGGGAAGAGGAATACTTTTTCTTTATAATATCAGTAGAAACAAACACACACATATAAAAAACCCCAAACCAAAAATCCAGGAGAGTTAAACTTCACGTTTCAATCTCAGGAATCAATAGTTTCATTTGCCAGTAACATTACTGAAAATTATTAGCTTACCCAAACAAGCATCCATTCCATATTTTCTACTGGAAAATTAGAAACTTTTGCATGATTTCCTACCAGGAGATTCGAGTTGTGGAGGTACAACGAGGAAGAGGATGGCTCTTTGTCCTGGGTTCTGAACCCAGGACACTCTTTCACTAAACACTAAACACTAAACACGCAAACATAGACACACTATCCCCTACACAGAAGATGGAGAGGTAGGACTTGGTGCCGTGCTCACCATCTCCTGTCTAAAGGCATCAGAAAACTAGAATAATTATATGAACCACTGGAAACAAGTCCCTGTTCAGTCTCACACCTGACCTCAGTTTCAAAATCAATTTTTCATCAGTATTGAGCAGACGAATGAACACTGCAGTGTTCAGATTCTCATTATTTAAAAGTGCTTCAGAGCAGTTAAAAAATAATAAATTACAATCCTAAGGGAATTCAAGTGCGGAAGACTCTGCCCATCACTTTTTTCTTGCCTTCCAGCAATGAAGTGCTGCTGTGTGAACGTAGCACTTGAAGCATCAGTTCCAGCTGTATTTTAACTAAAAATACTTGCATTTCATAATAAATATCTACAGGATGCAGTGAAGCTAGCTGCTAATTTCTTATCTAACGTATCTTTCCCTCCAGCTTCTCAGAGACTGCTATTGCTGCTAAGGTCCCCATCTCCATAGTTCTCAAAACTAAACGTAACACTCATGCTGACAAGTGTCAATTCTGGGCTAAATAAAACTATCAGTAACAGAGATGGAAGTGTTTCAGTGAAGAGTGCTGAAGGGAAGAAGAGCAGATTATTTGCTTAGATAATAGAGATATAAACACATGGAGCAACTCACCTATGTTCACTCTGAGCAGAGTTACAGGACAAGGGGAGATTCAATTAGAATGAAAAGCAATCAATCCAGACCAAGATTTCAAGAAACAGCATAATTACCAGCTAAGTGGACTAAGTAGAAATTTCCTGTACGCTTATCATGTATCTTTACATTATCATTATGTGTATCTACCTTGGAGTGAAGATGCATTGTCTTTTCTCCTGAATTATCTATATTATACATGGGAGCACTGCTTTCATGTTACCAAAGCAGAAAACACAACTTGGAGGTTGTGTGGCGAGAAAAGTGGTACTAAAACTGTAAATACCAACATTTTAAAGCTAACACTTCTTACTGTGAGCTGATGCAGAAACTTTTTACACCACAGGTTTTTTTAAATGCAATGCATTTATGTAAAATCACAGACCATTTCAGAAGTGTATCTGCACTGAAAGAAAAAGTACCAGAGTATGTCAGATTCCCTATCCACATCTGTCGCAACAAACGCTTCCCAGTAGGTCATCTCTTAAGTGTAACACAGTATTTATGTACATGCAAAATTAAACTGACAATGAAATTGCACATTTATAATTGTAATTTTCATCATGCCCTCTTCCTTTTTGCAACTGAACTGTTTACATTTCTCTTTCTTTCCATCTTAGAATTTTTGACTGTAAAACCTTCACACTGAGATTTGTTCCTAAGAAAACAGTGTGTTTTGCTTCCCAGAGCCTGAAATCTGGGCACAACTCAACTGTAATTTCCAAGTCATGTTACTTCATAATTCTACCTGAAACTAAGTTGGAGTAGTGAGCAGATTCCTCTTACCTGTTTGTGAGCATGATCATAAGAGTTAATGTGATTGTCAAACTCCTGGTGTTTATAGTACTGCTTGTCACAAAGTTCACAGTAGAAGTTGGCTTTAAGATCTTCCAGAGCTTTTGCTATCGTGTTTTTCTTTTCAGCATAATCCTGGAAGGGGATAGGAAAAAGGAATTTTAGTTTTGCCTTTGATGCTGCAAATGGATTTTGTGCTCTGAAGTTAATCATATTTGTCAATATTTACACACCTCTGTAACTAAAAGCCTTCACTATTTGCTGTGTTACACTGCACATATTTACTGTATCTGCTGGGAGGTTGAAGATTTGCACTCTCCAATTTGCTATACAGTTGCCATCTCCCCATACAGGCTCTGTTAGAGGCTAGAAGCATTTTCCCAGATTCTGTCTGCATACAAATATTTATCATGCTGAGGCTATTTTTGAGGTAATTTCTATTCAAGACCTGCTAGGTAATACATCCAAACAGAATAAGCATGAAGATACAAACTGCATTAAATTAGTTCTTAGGCTTTTACAAGAAAGTGCATTTACTAAAAAGAAAACAGAATTCAAGGAACCATCCTGGGTCCTTCTTGAACCCGTGGAGACATGAAAACCTGAGGAACACTTTCAAAGCTGAGACATAATAAGTATCTTCATCACTTTGTCATCAAGTATTAGAAGGACATACAACTCCATTTACCATACATTAGCAAAAGCATCACAACCTTGCTTATCGTTTTGAGCTAATTACATAAAAGTAATATATATTAATTACCTAAATACACTGATGATAACATGGCCTGTTCTGAAAGACTGTGGAAATGGTCTGTCATCTCAAATTAGTTTAATATCAGTTAAACACTGAACATGTATAACTTTAGTGCAACAACCCCTGCTTTTGATGAGTCTGTCTGGGACAGAATCACACCCTCAAACCCTAAATGCAGGAAATACTGTTTAAGAAGATAACACCCCTTTGACTTGTTTCACAAAATTTCATTGCTGCAAGCACTTTGGAACTGACCCCAAATTCTCCTTGTTTCTGTCTTCTTCCTTGTTCAGTTAGATTAAGATAAAATATGAACTCATAATCAGAACACTCAAAACTGAGATAATTTTGGGAAAAAAAGTCCCTATTTGCTAGAAGTTTTCAGAGCTTAGGACTAGTACACTTCCAATATATTCTAGGGAGTTTAACATGGAAAATTCAAGTTTATCAGCTTAGAATGTTTGCAGAACAATGATGTCTGTTAAAAGAAAAAGAGGTATCAATTAGAATTATATTCATCAATTAGAATTATATCAATTCAATATATCAATATATCAATATATCAATTAGAATTATATCCACAAAGCATTCATTTAAAATAGCACAGAGAGACCCTAAGGAGATACACACCCTTTAAACACTTTTAAAGTAATTTTTATAGTCTACAAAGCGATGCCACATGGATTTTTTTAAAACACACAAAAATCTGGATTTTGGTTGATTACCAGAACTCTGAAATATTATATATGACCTCTGTGAAGGACAAGAGCAAATGTGATGTATTCTAAGACAAGAACAGTGAATATTATTTTTTCTTTATATAAAACATCTCACACCATGCTGCTGGTTAATCCTCAAGCAAAACTTTGCAAGACTTACTAATGTAGCATAATGCCTTAAATAAAGTTACTTAACTTCACTGGTGTTCCTCTTGACATAAAGCACCATTTTGGAAGCAATATACTTATTATATAGCAGAACCTAACCTGAACACAAACATATTTGACATGCCAATGCATTCTAATGGAGCAGAGACAGTGAAACCCCAAGAACAACTTTACTGCAAAGTAATAAAATCTTATCATTATCTTGGGATTTCTACCACTAAAATCCTTCAGCTATAGGGCTTTTAGGAGTAGGCTCATTTTACATTACATTATTACATCACAGTTTCAGAGGCAAGTCATCACATAATCTAAATTAGACACAAATAAGGAGGATGAAATATAATAAATAATGTAGCTTGATCATGCATGGGCAAGGGGAAAACCAGGACTTTTAAATAACAAGAACCAAAAGTATTTGAGCTTAGGAACAAATGAATGGTTGTATTGGACCAGATGAACCTTTCAAACCTGCATAAGATTTTATTCTGTAGACCTAAGAGAAGTGACTTGACTTGCTTTGCAGCTGCGTTCTGCTAGTTTCAGTTGCTGCATACTGGAAAAGGTCATTAACACCCACTTTTTATTCCCTTTAACTGACTCATTCATAATTACATACACCCCCTATCACACTGTCTCTTTGGTATCTCTGTCTGAATGATATAGTTCTGGTTCATTCAGGCATTCCTTATATCAAGGCCACTGATCACCTCTGCTTGTTCTTTTCACAGCCTCCCAAAGAAGACATGATAACACAATATTCTATGGTGCCATGCAATAATATGTTAATATTCTCTATTTTGTACCTTATTCCTTTTTGTACTAAGTCTTAACATAGGAATTGTTTAAAATCACAATAAAGCAAAATCAACATTTTTATAGAACTCCTTTATCACATGTATCTTTTGCTGCTGCATAATATTTTGATGGCAGGAGATGTTTTTTTCCAACCACTAAACTTCACCTGACTTCAGAAACTTTATATTTCCTTAGTGGCACAAAGGCCACTAACAAACCTTATGGATAAGGTTTTGGCTTTGGGATCTAAGCAAGGGCAATAGCAATAGCATTTACTTGTGGCAGTGTAGCATTTAATAGCATTTCATTGTGGCAGTGTAGTATTGATCTTGTCAAGAATGTATCCACAGCAAAAATTTCTAAAGAAATAGTAGCAGAAGTGTGTATTTTTCACAAAATTTTGCATTGTACTGCACTTCAACCAATCATGCAAAACCAAACAGTTTCTTCATGTTAGCCCCTAAGACCACCAGATGAGCTGGAACAATTCTAATTTTTATCTTGTGGGAAAAGATACTGAATCACTTCTCCCACCGTCTTTGTTACTCTGTTCTAAAACTTCAGCTTACTGCATAGCACATGTATGCATTAAAAAAAAAACTTTAATAATACCCTTAAAGGAGGGTCTTCAAGAGATTCCCTGCAGCCATCTTCTGGGCTGACCTGGGATTGAAGATAAAGTCCTGTTGCTGGTTGCCATCAGAAGAGGAGGAAAAACTGATTTCAAGGATGAACAGTGAATGGAAATGGGAGAACACAGGCTGCTGCTTTCCTGCCTGCTAGGCTATTTCTATCAATTTTGCAGGGAGGACCACCTTGGAAAAGGAGGATTTATCAATTTTGATGAGGGATAACTGTGCAAAAACTGACAGTAAAAAATTACAGTCCCTGGACCTTGATAGTACTGGGCAATGGACTGCAGATGAAACTGCAGAAACTTACTGGAGAAGAATATTCCTGGAGTAAAGTACGAGTGAAAAAAATCACTTAAACTGGTTAAGCATGATCAAGCTTAGTCTCAATTTCATAAAGATTTGCAAACCATCCTGGAAGTTTTAAAAGAACTTTGAATTACCATTCAGCTTGGTAATGAAACTCGGAACTGAGTGTCACTTAGTTTCATTACTTTTTCCTGAAAGGCTTATTATCTGAAAGTCCACAGCTAATCTCCATAATTTATATGAAAGATCTCTAATAAGTGATCACATCTATCAGTTGGCTTTATTTCTCTAAATCCATCTTCTCCATCCTCCAAAGCTTTAAGCCTGGGAAAATGCCAGCGCAAACATCTGATAAACTGGAACAAGAGAGGGCTTCACCTGCAGAGGGGGTACCTGTCACTGACTAGACTGGACTTTCTCCTCCCAGTATATGAGAGAAAAAGAAAGAAGGAAACAGAAACATTAAACCCTTGGCACAGATGACTGGAGAGGGTTGTCTGTATGCCTCAATCTAGTGGATATTTTCATGGAGTGCACTTTATGCTCATACTTCTACTGTCTGCAGAAAGGCCAGCTAGAAAAAAACAAGTAGGAATATGAGATTAGAATACATTATCTACTCCATGTTGATTGCCAGTGTGAATATTCTTACTTGACAAAAAATGTGAGAAGTAAGCTATTTTGCATTTACTGTAGACTTAAAAGGGTCAGGCCTGCAGTCATTGCAAAGTAAAATGTGTTACAGAAATAAATCACTTCTTCCAGATAATTTATCCCAGAGAGGATTAGACTGTTGTGGTCTGATCCTCCGGATTAGATCCCTTTAGACCTGACAGATGTTCCAGTGAAACCTTGTTTCACAAAAAGCATTTAAAGCATTTTTTTTTCTGTTCCAAAAACCCCCCAAAAACCCAAACAAAAAAAAAACCACCCACCAAAACCCCACCTGACCCCCCTCAAAAATATATTCTGAACATTGTCAAAAACTTCATACTGACTGTACTTACAGAAAAGGATTTGTCTAAAAATATGCTGTTACCAAAAAAGAAAGAAAAAAAACATTATAAACCCCAAACCAAACAAGCCGGGAAAGAATTAGCCATCACTTAAGAGCACCCTTCTCTACAGTCAATTAACTGTGATACCTGTGGACATAATTTACAATAGGTTCCTTAATTTCTGGTATATTTACAGTTATTATAAAAACAGTCCAAAGAAGCAGATTTCACTGAACAAAATGTGCAATTTACAAACATCTCCGCTATTACCCATCTTGGTATTACCTGGCATATATAACTTTTTTTATCATCTTCATATATCACTTTTTTTCTCATGTAAGTGGTCTATGCAATATCCACTGGTGCACTTGAAGGAATAAATGAAAAATAGAACACATTAATAATACTAATGCAGTCTAGTACCAAATCTAATTATTTATAAGGTTCTTGTCCTTATCAGGGCAGTGAGAACAAAGCAAAAGGCAATTAGATACACTGATCAAATTACTCATCGATCTTAACAAATTCATTTCTAGGGAGTGGATAGTGAGTTTCAGTCTAATATCAAGGAGACTGGCTGGGAAAATAAATACCAAGAATACTGTCATACCTTTTTGATTACTATATTTGAAACTTTTGCATTAGCTGTGAGATGTGGCAGCAGCCTAAAATGTACAAGGCCATGAACATCAGATACTATACCCTTAATTTCTTCATCCCTTCTGACATTCTCCTTCCCGGGAAAGGAGCTTTATCC